AATCTCAAGTTTGCTGCTTAAACACTCTGGTAGGAATTTGCTGCCATCTTCAGGCTTTCAGCAAAATGGATTTTGCAATCCCAAAAATGCACACCTTATTCTTCAGATTATCTTCTTGGAAGAGGATGAGCAAATGTAATTTTATTGCTCCCAAAACATAATACAACAAGCAAGAATGAAACAGCAACCACAGCCATATGCCTTATTTCCAGTTAGAATAACTCATATTTTATGCACATATTAGAGCAAATTTAATTCTAATCATGCCATTCACAAAGCATTTCTGCAAGACACTTCCCACTGATTTCAGTCGACAGCAGCAGTGCTCAACAGATTAAGGCTCCCTGAGAGTAAGCCCCATTGAATTCAGACTTTCTTCTGAGTAGCCATGGTTAGGATTTCAGCCTAAGCCCCTAAAGGTGGTGAATCAGCATAACTTTAGTACTCCAAAGAGTATTAATTAATGGTTCCTCGCCATCCTGGAAAAAAGGGATGTGGGGTGCCGTAGGGTTCTGTCCTGGGCCCGTTGTTGTTAAACGTCTTCATAAACGCCTTGGATGAAGGAATTGAGGGGATGCTCATCAAATTCGCAGATGACACTAAACTGGGAGGGGTAGCTAATGCCACAAAAGACAGAATCAGAATTCAAAATGACCTTAACAGAGTGGAGAACTGGGCTCAAGCGAACAAAATGAATTTCAACAGGGGCAAATGTAAAGTTCTGCACTTAGGCAGAAATAACCAGATGCACAAATATAGGATGGAGGACACCTGGCTTAGTAGGAGTACATGTGAAAAGGATCTAGGGGTCTTAGTGGACCACTAGCTTAATATGAGTCAGCAGTATGACGCAGCAGCAAAAAGAAAAGAAAAGAAAAGAAAAGAAAAGAAAAGCTAATGCTATTCTAGGCTGCATCAACAGAAGTATAGTGTCCAGATCAAGGGATGTAATAGTACCACTCTATTCTGCCTTAGGACCAGACTTGGAATACTGTGTCCAATTCTGGGCACCACAATTTAAGAAGGATGTTGACAAGCTGGAACGTGTGCAGAGGAGGGCAACCAAGACGGTCAAGGGTCTGGAAACTAAGCCTTTTGAGGAGCGCTTGAAGGAGCAGGGTATGTTTAGCCTGGAAAAGAGGAAACTGAGAGTAGATATGATAGCTTTCTTCAAATATCTAACTTGAGTGCTAGCACATGGAAGAGGGAGCATGCTTGTTTTCTCCTGCTCTGGAGGGTAGGACTCGTGGCAATGGGTTCAAGGAGATTTCGACTAAACATTCGAAAAAACTTTCTGACAGTAAGAGCTGTTCAGCAGTGGAACAGACTCCCATGAGAGGTGGTGGACTCTCCTTTCTTAGATGTCTTTAAACAGAGGTTGGATGGCCATGTGTCATGGATGCTTTAGCTGAGATTCCTGCATTGCAGGGGGTTGGACTAGATGACCCTTGGGTCACCTTTGAACTCTACAATTCTATGATCTTCACGACCATCAAAGAAGATGCAGCACATTTCACCCTTCTTACAAAGATCCAGAGATTTCATAACTTGTTCTTAGATCCTCCTCACTTTATTGCGATCAACTGCAAGTCTCTTATCTTCTTCAGTGATCAAGCCAACATCCATTAAGATGGCAGTGGTGATGGTTAACACCATATCTGATGCTCTGCATAGCAACATTATGTATTTCTAACGTGTCGTACCCCATCTTTTTATTAGAAGTGGAGGCGTACTTTATTTTCCTAATGTCAATCATAACTTCCATCATTTCTATCTTGGGCATCAGCTATTTATTCTTCATTTTCATTAGCAGAGAAAATTATTTCATTTGATGGTATTGAAGCATCCTGCTTATTTCTCTGCTTATATTCAGCAAGCCTCCTTGTCTTGTCTTCTTGCTGCTTCCGCTTTTTGACTTGCCTGTTATGCTTAGGTATAGGCAGGCCTGACGCAATTTCAGCCTTTGCTGAATGGGGAGGGTCCAGAGTGCTGCCACCATTCCTACAACCCATGTTCAGCTACTGTGCTCAGTAGGCCCCACTGTTCTTGCAGGAGGGGTTCTCTGAGGTGACAGAAGCTGGTCTGTGGTCATATGTTTGTATGTTTGTGGCTCTCATTCTGCAGGCACTGCTTCTGGCAGGCAGGGTTGGCAGTGACCTAGATGTGTGGGTGCCTCTTTGGGGCTATGTTTCGCTAGCACCAAGCAACTCCTCTGCTTCCTCCCTCCATCACCCTTCCTTGGGGGAGCTGAGTTGGCTGCATTGTCCTGCCACAGCTATCCTGGAACACAGCCAGTGCTCCATCTCTGTCATAAGCTTAATTCATCAACAATAATGAACATATTTGCAAGTTAAAAAACAAACAAACAAACAGCATTGCAACCATGAATTGTTGTTCTTCAGTGGTTCAGTATCAAAACCATTACAATACAGTGGTACCTCAGGTTACATACGCTTCAGGTTAAAGACTCCACTAACCCAGAAATATTACCTCAGGTTAAGAACTTTGCTTCAGGATGAGAACAGAAATCGTGCAGTGTGGCAGCAGCGGAAGGCCCCATTGGCTAAAGTGGTACCTCAGGTTAAGAACAGTTTCAGGTTAAGAACAGACCTCCAGAATGAATTAAGCACCTAACCCGAAGTACCACTGTACACACATACTGACAGTAATTCATTAATATTTTTGGATTTTAAGACCCAAACTTGATGGGTCTGGTTGCTGGGTTTTCTTGTAGGTTTGATTTCCTTCTGTTCCCCCCACCCCTTTGGCTAAAAGACTGAGCAGGAGCACTCCACATTGCAACCATTTGTTACAGGTCACATTTGCCTCCTGTGATTGCCTGTCAGGGAGGGAGGGGGTTAAGAAAATAGAGGTAGCTAGACACTGAAGCTGCTTCTGCAGCCACCTGGTGGAAAAACTGAGCCTTGGGGAAGTGTCAGCAAGGGATCGGGGAGAGACATTTTTCAACCAAGCTCCTTGAGTGAAGTATTGAAGGGAGAGGAGGACTCTGTACTTATTGCTAAACGTAAAAGTAAAGGACCCCTGGACGGTTAAGTTCAGTCAAAGTCGACTATGGGGTGTGGCGCTCATCTTGCTTTTCAGGCCAAGGGAGCCGGTGTTTGTCCACAGACAGCTTTCCGGGTCATGTGGCCAGCATGACTAAACCGCTACTGGCACACGGAGGACCGTGATGAGTGCCAGAGCGCACAGAAATGCCATTTACCTTTCTGCCGCAGCGATACCTATTTATCTACTCGAACTGGTATGCTTTCGAACTGCTAGGTTGGCAGTAGCTGGGACAGAGCAACGGGAGCTCACCCCGTCACAGTGATTCAAACTGCCAACCTTCCAATCAGCAAGCCCAAGAGGCTCAGTGGTTTAGACCACAGAGCCACCCGCACTTGGCTCAAGATAGGCTGCCATAACATCTGCCCATCTTTCTCTTCTAGAACAAGGTGGAGGAGCCAGAAATCTAAAGCATGAAATGCAGGTCTTAAATACATTTCAGTATCAAGGGAAGTCATCATTATGCAATTTGTAATTAACCAGATACTTAACATGTCCATAGTGGGCACTGTGAAGTACAATTATGTGGACACAAATACATGGGAAGGGTAATAGTTCAGTGGTAGAGCACAGAAATACTTTGTAAGCAGAATGCCCCAGGTTCAAGGCTTCTCTTGTATAGGATACCAGCTTTTAAATAATTCTATGCTTTATACACACAAACAGAACAAGGTCAAGGAAAATGGTGTTCTTCATATTATATGAAGATAGGTCTAAAAATCATCCGTTGGTTTAAAGAACAGCATTTTCAGGCTCAGTTAACATTTTTTAAAGGTTTTTAAAACCACAATCACTAGAAAGGTGAATCATATGTTTTCCGCTGTGGCATACCTGTATAATTTACTTACTTGCCTTATACAAAAAAAAAAAAGACTTGCAAAAAGAAGCAATACAATGTAAACACAAAGAAAACATATAAAATTAAAAGAGATCCTCCATAAAATAATTTTTAAAACTCACCCCCTAACCACCATATAAGCACGATCACTATTCATGTTAACCAGCTGAAGAATACCCTAGAAGTAGCAATTGGGTGTTAATAGCCTATGAGGAAAGTCCTTGCCTGGCACTGAAAATATGCAATGCAGGCTCCAGGCGAGTCTCCTGGGGAAAGCGTTTCATGAATGGGATCCCCCGTTTCCTGTGCGTGCCAGGAATTATTCAACTCAAACACTGAATTTTAAATTTTCAAATTAACAAACACCTGTAATCTAAGAATGAAGGCAAATGGATAAATGTACAGCTAACGGCTGATTCATACAGAAGCATGTGAATATTTTATGTGTACAGAAGCCTCTGGTCACCTGTAGCAGCTACTGAATGAGTTGCCAGAGTGCCATTCCAGCCCCCTTGGCCGTATTTCCCTCAATAGTTATCTTGCTCTGCAGTGGCAGCATCTTCCCTTGCCTTTTCTATTGCTAGAGGACAGAAACTGCCTGAGGCAGTCAAAGCACACATGGTAGTAGTAGTGCTAGCACTGGTGACAAGACTCCAGACGTGCTCTCTGTAAGGATTTGTCAAAGCTCATTTTGAAGATGCAGGAAACTACCTTCCGCTGAGTCAGACCATTGGTCAGTCTAACTCAGTACTGTCTGCACTGACTCACAGCAACTCTCCAGGGTTTCAGGCAGATGTTTTTCCCAGTCCTATCCTGGAGATGCTGGGGAGTGAACTTTGCATTCACAGCATGAGCTCTATCAGTGAGCCAAGACCATTACCTTTGCTCACAGCCAGCCTCATTGCTGCAATGATTGCAGCCAGTCACAGTGTTGGTATAGCTAGCCAGTGGCTTCTCTGTATATAGCTTCGGTTCACAGGCTCTTGTTGTCGTAGAAACAAATGGTTTGAGAATAACAGCTGCTTCAGTTGTTTGCATAGAGTATCAGAACTATTAGTCCATTAGATTAGGCAATAAAATTTTAAAATATTTCCTCCTCCGAGGTGCTTGAATACACTGCATTTTTATTTTTTTAAAAAAGGTTTACACTACAGAAACCACATTCACGAGCTGTACAACTATTCAGATTCTCCATGACAGGTTCATTTATTTATATACTAGGTTAAAAAATACAAATATCTCATTACAAAAAAAGCTTTATCAAACTGTGTACATACAGTAGGTTTTGTCAAAAGCCAACCTGTCAGAATTACTTTATATACATTTGGCTAATATGTGTGACATGCAGAGTAAGAAGAAAACTGTTGCAGGCCAATTTCAGAAGCCTGGGATTATAGACTTTTGACAACAGTCAAATGGGTTTCGCATAATTGGTAAATACATTTTCACATAAACATGAAAGCAGTTTATAAACCAGGATAAGACTTTATTCTGAGCCCCAGCAACTAGAATCAATCAAACTGGCAAGTGAGAGACAATTCCAACGCAGAGGAGATGTGTCATATTACCAGCCATAATGGAAGCACGGTAACATGAACACAAGAAATAGTTATTTAAGCAGCAATGGCTGGCATCCCATGGTTCCATGCAGCAATGCTCAAGTGCCCCAGCTTGGATGGTAATGCAGATTGCTGCAAGGTTAGTGTGTACATGTACGTTCACACACACCCACACACCCACATATGTTTAAAACACACACCTGTTGATACTGAAGGACAGATGAGATTCCAACCTGCAGAAGTGTGCAAAGGCCGACGCTGCCAATCCTTCATTTTTTATTTTTAAAAAGAAGACAACAGTCTCAGTGTACGTTGCTCTGAGCTCAGGCAGGCTCTTGCTGCTAGGCTGAGCTGAAACTGCTCTGGATGCAGGGTAAGAATTTACAAGAAGAGCAAATTGTCAGAATCCCGCCCATTGAATCCAGCTATAGGGCTCCTCACATCCAATACACTTTAAGCTCAAATTTGAATGATGAGACATAAAAATACTTGGGGTAGCATCCAACTAATACATCCCATCAGCACAAGGATTCCTGCTTGTGCAACAGAACCCACCCCACAAATCCACTTCAGAGGGTTATGAGAACTCCTAGAACAGATGGGAGGGGCTGTGGGGGAAGTTCCACTCAAGCAGAAATCCTTATGCTGGTGGAGTAAGTTACTACTTAGCGCTGCTTTGGATAACTCCCTTTTCCTTTGGCTGAGCAGTTGATTCAGGCAAGCTTCTGGGCCTAAGAGTTGATTTTTCCACAGGATGATATTTTCAAGTAGAGCAGACTCCCCTAAGATGCCCATCCAGGCCCACCATGATATCTGCTTGCTGGGATGAGACTGGAATACTGCAAACACACTGATGAATTTATTTTACACACAGGGGTTTCAATTCAGGACTTGAAATAGAGAGGGGTTGCATGTTAAGATTCCAGATTTAGCACCAGTCCAACCTAGAACATAAAAACACTTTTGGCAGCCTTTTCCATCAGATGCAGACTTCCTTCAAAGGCTCATCTCAATGGATAGTAAAGTGCACAAAACCACCAAGTAACATCTCCTCCTCCTTCCACCCAGCCACAGTTCACGCCTCCAACACAGAATCATAGAATTGCAGAGCTGGATGGGACCCTGGGGTCAAATCCCCAGCAATACAGGAATCTCAGCTAAAACACCCATAGCAGGTGGCCAGCCAAACTCTGCTTTAAAAAACACTCCATGGAAGTCCACCACCTTCTGAGGACGTCTGTTCCACTGTCGAACATGTAAGGTAAAACTAAAAGATCTCACTCCTGATGCTAAGCTTACAAATGCTAACTTCTTGAGGTTGTTAAGCAGCAAACACCATTGTTTCTGCCCAGGGTACAATTTTAAAGGATTACACATCATTGGACTACGGATACATTTAATTACAGAGCTATATGCAGCAATACTTTTGGTTATCGGTTTACCATTTTCAGAACAGGCACTCTTGACCTTTGGAGAGGGGACTTAATACTAGCAGAAACGGAAAGAGTCATTTGCTTTTGCACTGATTCCCCCCCACCCCCCAACAGTGCTAGTTTTAACAGAAATCAGTAACAATTTCTCTGAAGTAACCCAGCTAGGATAACTGTTGGGGGGTGGGGTCTCCACTTTTTTCCAGTTGCCCATCTAAGTATACTTTTCCATTAGGCTACATCAAAGTAACATTTGCGCAAGCTAACATAGGTTTGCAAGACAAACATGACATGTTTTCTAAAATTCAAGGAGTTCTTATATATGTAGTGATAGACATCACAATCATCACATGATCCATTAATTTCTTTATATATATAAATAGCACTTCTTTCCCATTTTATACAAGTGGATTTAGACTACAGTCTTAGAAGCTAGTGTGCCATGTGGTGAAGAACCAAAAATGTGCCCAGGTGGTGTCTTTCTGCAGCATCCTCTCACTTCCCCCAGTAGCTCAATAGGCAGTTTTAAAATTGGCTCACACATTGAGCCAGGCAAGCAGCTGCAAAAGAAACTTAAAAGACCCCAAGCAGCTGCATGCGCCATTCTCCCCCATGCATGCACATAGCTTTGTAGGACTGCAGGCTTAGTCAGATGTTCTCAGGCTCTCCAAAAGGTTAACGTTTTCTATCTGAGACGCTGGAGCTGAATTAGAGGCGAGACGTCATGGTCGACATGATTATGTGTCACTTATTCTAAGACATTTGTATGAAGATTACTGACACTACTACAAATACACAGATACTGCCACACAAAATAGATGAGAACAAATAGTAAATACATCTTTCATCTCATGGCACATCTAGCAGGATAACACTGTCTGGTTGGTTTAACGGTCAGTTGTGATTATGCTTGATTGAATATTTTCCTTTCTGTAGCTGAGAAATATACAGTTTGGATTTGCTTCCATCAGGCCTCTTAAACCACACTTCATCATGGTTAATTGTTGTAATTATGGCACTGAAAAGAAAGGAGGGGGGAATCAGGAGCACATTAGTGTCCATATAAAACTACAGGATCACCTTAAACTGCACTGCCATTTATAAACGGTACTGTAATTATTGGTAATAGAACACACAAGCATTATAACAAGTGCCTCATTAAATTAAGGATAGTTAATAAAATACAGGAACACTGATATTGGAAGTGTACTAAACATTACTATGTCTGTTTACCAACCGTTCACATCTTTAATAGCCGCCCTTTGTTAAGGAAGGGAAAGAGAGAGAGAGGCACATGCGCAGGCTTAACAGCAGAGTGACTAGCTAGCAATGATGTAGCTACAGCAGCGCTCTATAGGATGCTGAAGTCAGTATCCTATAGTACAGTTTGCTTTTGTACAGGTGGAGACCATCCTCAGCGTGTCCAATTGATGTGCGGCTGTCGACACGTCAGTCCTTTTGGACCGTGAAGAGGGCATAACGGGGGCAGGGAGTAACGGGGTGGGGCATAATGGGCTGGCTTACAAACACTGACAAATGCAGGGACCAGAAATGGAATCTCTGCGCAAAACAGCTGCTGTCTGTATAGTATATTTTACAATGCCTATCAGTAGGAATCCTACAATAGCATCTAGCTATTGTAAGTAACACCGATGGAAGCTCGATTTGTTGTGGGATTGCTACTGATAGACATAATAAGGTACCCTATATGAAAGCATACTATTACTATAGGATACAAAAGTCACCTCTGCGGATGCTACTGTAGCTACTTCGTTGCCAGCTGGTCATTCTGCTATTGACTCCATACTGACAAAAGTTCTCATTGAGTGATGCATAGGCAAGCTTCTCTAGTCCTGCTGTGATTTAACTCATTTCTCTCTATATGTTTATAAATTAATGTTTATATTGTCTGTATGTACCAGGTATAGGCAAACTCCGGCCCTCCAGATGTTTGGGACTTCAATTCCCATCATCCCTGACCAATAGTCCTGTTAGCTAGGGATGATGGGATTTGTAGTCCCAAACATCTGGAGGGGTGGAGTTTGCCTATGCCTGGTATGTACTATGTACTTTCCCCATACAAGAACATCATTCAGTATATAATATAAATTTATTCACAGACTTGAGTCTTGTGGGGTCTGCTTTGTTTATTCTTTTAACTAAAACTCTCGAGATTCCTCCAACCAGAGACAGGTTCACTAGGTGAATCCTGCCCGCTATCTTTACCTTACAGGGCATTCATCTTTCCTATCAATACATATCGCTTGTCCACGTCCGTACCACTCCCCATTATAATACAGCCTTCCATCTTCAGATCTTGCATTGTGTACATGTTTTTCCAACTTGACAGGGGCTGAAAGAATCAGTGCAGACAAAACAGAACAGGAGATTTAAGAAGGCAATTTCTGTCTACCTCATTTCTACTCTGAGTTTGCCTTTTTGCTTGGAACGCCTCCTACAACTATAGAACAGGAATGGGGAGCCTCAGCCGCAGGGACTGAATGCGGGCCCCCAGGCCTTTCCCTCTGGCCCTGGAGCCTCTCCAGCCACTCCCCATTTCCACAAACTACACCCATAACTGGCTCTGCATTGCACCCTACTTGAGTATTTTTGCCAGGTTAGAATGTCCTTGAACTCTCATAATGCTCTTAAATGCCTGAAGGATGAAGAGGTTTGCGGGAGTAGATCAGTACTTGGTGCTCCACCAACTTTTGCTTCTACCACCCCCACCCCCCAGTTACTGCCATGTGGCCCTTGGAAGGTTTCCTACAAGGTTCTCCACTCCCTACTACAGAAGGGATCCACTTAAGTTCTCTAAAAGGACAGAAAGTCTTTCCAAACCACACAAGACAAAAAACAGTGTCTTGCTGCCTAATCCGTACACAATTAAGAACTCCCCATAGTAAACTCTTAGCATCTGTGGCTGAGAAATCCTGAGCTATTATAGAGGCAAGGATTGAACAAGTATAAAGCAGATTGTCCTTACGTTCTGTTTTCACTCTATGTGGCCCCAAAGTAGCCATTGCCTGAAATAAAAAAAAATGGTGTTAATCATCATTTCGGCAAATCAACTTAGAAGCTTTGCTTTTAAGAGCATCCCTCTTGAAACCTAAGCTATGCCCATTCATATCAGCCATTTTCTTTAAAAGAAAAAGGAATACAGAGAGCAACATTCAACAATACCTTTCTTATTGTGGTCCAGTCTTCAAGTATATCAAGATCTTGCAGCATGTACACTATATAGGGTCGTTAATATGTTAAGGGACTTGCACATTTCCAAAGAGGATCAAGTTGTTTTTGTTGTTTTTTTAAAAGGTTCTAGCAGATCACTTCAAAGTATGCTTGGTATAACGCAACTAAAATCTGTGCCAAGACAGACCCCAAGGGCAGGGCATACATATTTTTTGTGTATGCCTTGGAGCAAATTTATCAGAGAAGCAGCATTGCTTCATTTCCTTGTTTTCAAAAGGGTTCATTGTGTGGCTACACATCCTTTCGGGTTCTAAAGTATGAAAAGTTGTGGTTGTGGCAGGTTCCTCTGCATACATGCACAGAAAAACAAAGGCATCTCATTACAACTGTTGCCAAAATTTCTGCAAACTCTTAGGTTTTTTTAAAAAGTTGTGGGGATGGGAGAGTAGGAATGATGGGTTATCACTAGATGGAGATTTTATGCTGTACCACCTGCCATCTTCTCTTTAATAATCCACATTATAACCAGGAGGGTGATATCCAACATTATTCATAATCAGACTAGAGCCACTGAAAGCAGTGGAACCAAGTCCACTCATTTTAATGGGTCTACATTGAGTATGACTTAGCTTTTGAGCATCATCCTGTTACTATAACCATACCACATACTGTGCAAAAAAAAAGTGACAATCCAACGGACAGACCAGCTCTTAGTCTCCAAGAAAATTTTGTTCTAAATTCTCAGCTTTCAAACCATTGTCTTGTGTTTCACCCCACTTAGTTTCTTAATGAAAATTTTATGAAGTGTTAACAACCAGCAGCACTGTAATTCAGCGAATATTATATCCAGTTGGCAACCATGAAAAGGATATCTGATACAACAACCGGTTTCTTCTTATCGGGACTGAAGGGATCCTTCCTTTTTTTCCTAGACTGAAGTTCATCATTCCATAACTCTGAGGAAATGTAAGAATGTGGCAGTTAAAACAATTTTCTTCACATAGCACACTGGTCTCCAAGCTCATCTATTCATACAATTAATAAACAAGCTGTGCTGCTTTAGGAACTGGAACTGCCACTTACACTGACTATCCTGTCTTATTAACATTTAGAATAGATTTTTCTTTATGGCATTAGGCCAAGAGAGAGACCCTTGCATTTGAGTGCTATAAACCAAGCCTGTGACCAACTCCAACTTGACACAAGTATTTGGTCACTTCATGTACACTCTTCCTTTCCATTTCTGTGCAGCTACCTTTATGTTATGGGCTGGCTGAGTCAAGACAATGCAGGTGGAGGACTGCCCAAGGTGCCGGAAAAAGGCTCCAGTGGAATATGGGAGCCGCTGCTGGCAGTGTGGCAGTGTGAGCAATGACCCTGAGGGATGGAATTTTCCCCCAATCTGCTCTTCCATCTCATTTGCCCCCATGATGAGAGCCAAAAGTCCCACCTCTCTCTCTCTCCAAGGTAGTCAGAGCCTCTCTCTGACATGCCCATGGTGCTCATTGCATCGCCCACCCCAGAGCCGCCAGTTACTGGGAGTAGCTCTGCCTACCCAGAAGGGGATGTTTCACTGGTCCCAGCCACCTCTCAGGAGGCAGAGACACTTCCATTATCACCTAGGTCCAGGAGAAGCCAAACGACAGTAATAAATAAAAATAATAATAATTTATTATTTATACCCCGCCCATCTGGCTGGGTTTCCCCAGCCACTCTGGGCGGCTTCCAACAGAATATTAGAAACATGGTAAAACATCAAACATAAACTTCCCTAAACATGGCTGCCTTCAGATGTCTTCTAATAGTCAGATAGTTGTTCATTTCCTTGAGATCTGACAGGAGGGCGTTGCACAGGGCAGGTGCCACTATTGAGAAGGCCCTCTGCCTGGTTCCCTGTAACTTCACTTCTCGCAGTGAGGGAACCGCCAGAAGGCCCTCGGAGCTGGACATCAGTGTCCGGGCTGAACGATGGGGGTGGAGGCGTCCCTTCAGGTATACTGGGCCGAGGCCAGAGAACAGCAAGAGAACAGTAGATTCCGCACACTAGGCGTGGTGAGAGATTTCAGAAATGCTTACTGCCCTAAGATGGGCCCACCCCATTCCTATATATAGGATAGCAAAAGGGGTGTGACAGTGTAGGATCAATGTCTAAAACTTTGGTAGTTAGAGTACCTGCCTTTCATATAGCTGTGTTTAGGATTACCTGAAGTGCCTTAAACCAGTAATCTGCATATGTGCAGCGGTAATCTATACATTAAAGCCTTTGGAAAGAATCTTTCCTCAAGTCTTTGTCATCAGGACACTCAACCAGCTCTTAGTTACCTGAGGTAATGTCAATGCTATGTCGGTCTTCTTCAAGTCGTCTGATTTTCTCTTCCAGTTCACTTTGAACTGTGTCATACAACAAGAGCTTTTCACTCTGAAAGGAAAAGTTAACAATGTAGTCAAACATTAACCAATGAAAAGCAGCCAACACATCATCTTCTACTGGATTGGGGCACTCAAGAGCAACGGAAGAAGCTTCCAACAAAGAGACCTGATGTATAAGAACCGTTCTCTCGCTGGGTTCAGAGTGCCAGAGGCAATGCAAAAAGACTGTCTTCTGATGTTGAGAAAGGTAGTCTCAGGTGCGTGAGGCAGATGCAATAGCGCACAGAAGGGTTAACATCCTGCAGAACATTCCAGTGGGTGCATGACATAACAAAAGCGAGGGGTTAAAAGGGGTTTTCGTCTTCCAAGAAGTGTTTTGAATCTACAAAGCACCAAGCCTAGACTGATAAATGTGAAGGGCTTTACCCATATTTTCCAAACAGTGGGGAATTATATAAACGCAAGAAAATAAACACACTAGTCTTAAAAAAGGAGAAACCCAAAACCTCATTTTCCTTCTAAATATGTTATGATCTGTATGTAGCTACTTGCAAAGGGCTCAGGACAAGCAACCTGTAGGAACACATGGGAGAATTTCAAGTCATCTTGGGGGGAAGTACAGTGGTACCTTGGTTCTCAAACGTCTTGGTACTCAAACACCTTGATTCTCAAACGCCGAAAACCCAGAAGTAAGTGTTCCGGTTTTGGAACGTTTTTCGGAAGCCGAATGTCCGATGCGGCTGTTGGCTATTGTTTCCGGGGCGCCTGCACCAAACAGAAGCTGCCAAACGGACTTACGGAATGGATTAAGTCGGGCACTTTTGTTTTTGCTATTTATTTTGCGTTTTTGCTTTTGAGGCTTTTTCGGTTAATTTGTTTTTGTGATTGTGTGGAACACAATTCAGCTACTGATTGATTGTGTGACTGCGGAAATGGATAAAAGCCCCCCATGCCAACAATGACTATCATCAGTGCAGGTAAGAAAAAATAATAATTTTTATTTTTATCACCTACAATACTGTCTTATTTATTTTATAGTACAGTACACTGATTATTGCTTTCATTTTATGGATCAATGGTCTTGTTAGATAGTAACATTAATGTTAAATTGCTGTTTTCGGGGTTGTGCTTAAAAGTCTGGAACGGATTAATCGGTTTTGCATTACTTTCTATGGGAAAGTGCGCCTTGGTTTTGGAACGCTTTGGCTTTGGAACGGACTTCCGGAATGGATTAAGTTTGAGAACCAAGGTGCCACTGTAAAAGAAGCAATGCAGCTGGAATACAAAGACTATGCAACTAGTCCTGTGTGCTTGGAGATGCTTTAAGAAATTTCAGCTCGTGTATCCCTGCAAAAGTAGCCTCCCTTCCTTCCCCACTGGCCACACAGTATATCATGTTTGGAACTTATTGCAGGGGGGCTATCAATATGTAGCCGCCTTATATTCAAAATCAAGAATCCCAAATGGTGCAATCAGACCCTTCAGCATGAACTAGATCTTTGGATTCTGATCATTCTGAGGGAACTCAGGGTGGATTATGCAAATTAAAAACAGATATTTTGATTTATTTCTCAAAAAAAAAAGTTGGAAACAATATGGTTTAAACTGAATTCTGAATTTAAAACATGCAACGTCTACACTTATTCAGGTAACTCACAATTATGTGCATTTAACTTCTGCTCATTCATCTTCAGTAAAAAATAAAAATAAAATTAAAAAGGGGGCAAAAAACTTTGCCAATCCCACCCACCACTGCACCCAGTTATTGTTTTAACAGGAATGGGATTTTAACTTGGGTGGGTACTGTTTTATTGGGGGGGGCGTTGTTTTAAATTGTTGTTAAATGTTATATGTTAATTTGGATTTTTGTATTTGTATTTGAGTTGGGGTATCGTTTAGGGGCTTTTGCTGGGGAGTGTATCGTTTATACATTAGTATTGTTGTGCATACACTAGTATTGTTAATTGTTTTGATTATTTTTATTATGTATTTTGTGCTTTGTATATTGTAACTTTGTGTTGTGAAATGCCCCAAGACCTATGAGTATAGGGAAGTATACAAATTTTAAGGATAATAACAATAACGTGTCCTTCGACCAGTCACTGTCTCTCAGCCTAACCTACCTCACAGGGTTGTTGTGAGAATAAAATAGAAAAGAAGAAACTGGTACAACACCTTAGCACTTTGGAAACACCAGTCCATCCTAGGATATCTTGATGCAGAAACAACCTTCCATGCAAACAATGGATATGGACACATTTCTGTCATACAAGCCTCTTTGAACCAGTTGATAGGGTGTGTGTGTGTGTGTGTGTGTGTGTGTTTGTGTGTGTACATATATACATGTATATGTATATGTATATGTATATGTATATGTATATGTATATACACAGAGAGAGAGAGAGATGGGAATTCCTACCAAAGGCCACAAGGTATTTCATTAAATTAGCTGCACAGGACTAGTTCTGGATCAGAACTATTGTGTTTGACCTTCCACATACTATTGGGAAACCATGTACAAGTGCATTACTTGCAAGTGGAACATGCAACAAAATGCTGCAGCGCATCACCACCTTTAACAAGAGTGTTGCTGTTGAGAGTCCCAGCCACACAGCACATCCTCTGGAATACAAGGGCTGAAGGAGGGCACTTTTACTAGTCATCTGTTGCCACACCCCTTGTTCTTCCCAAGTGGCATTCAGCATTCTCAGTCCTCACTGTACTGTTTTGGCCCTTCAGAGTGTTTGTGTAATTATCTCCACCATCCTCAGGGTTTCCATAAGCACACTCATACTTCCCTCTTGGCTCCATATCTGTTGACACTCACCATCTGAGTTTGCTATTAAAAGGGAGTGATTATTGCATTTCTTATTGTGGGAAACTACGAAAAAGCAGGGCATTAATTTTTGTCTCACAAAGAAACACTGTATTGTCCAGGTGCGCTATATAGCACCTGGTACTTCTGGAAAGCACTGCAGCCAGGATCCAAAGAGCTGCAAGGTTCATGCAAGGCTTTAATGTTGACCCAGTGGAATTTTTAATCCTGTTAATTTTGCTTGAATCAGGCCTTAGTGTTTTTAACTGTTTACAGGAAGAGCCTTTAACAATTACAGCTGGTGTTTTCAGGCATAGATGGATCTACAGAGCTACATGACCAACGTTTTTGTGATCATGCTCTCAATGTAAAATGAAGTCTCAATGTAGAATGAAGTCTCTTCTTCACTGCAAACTAATGTTTTGATTATTACAGTAACCAGTTAGTATGCCTATGTTTTTCAGGGGCAAAGCCAGAAACTACAGAACTGTGAGCCTGAATTGAATCATCCCACCCAGAGCTCATTCAAAGATTTTCAGTGCCTCTCAATGATTTTTAGTACTGCATGAACCTTCTTCTGAATCAAAACGACGTCTGAGTTCTTGGTTTCCCCTCCAGGCAGCAGAAATACGCCACATATCACAGAAAAGTTCTTTGAAAATGACACCACACACAAGAGATACAGTCAAAAATGTGGTTCAGGTAGCATCGCAGAACTGAAACAAATCACATGGCAGTGACCTGACCTAGCAACCACTTGTTTATGCAGACTTGAAACATACATAACTTAGCTGAAGTAATTTGCTTCATTTTGTGTTCCCAGTGTACCCCTCAGGTGGCACGCTGGTTTCCTTTTGAGATTAAGATTTTACACGGCTGATTAGACATGCTACCAAGAGCTTCAACATGATTTTCAAGAAAGCCCAGTAATTAAAATCATTGTTCTCTTTTCTGTGGATGAAAATGCTGTAATATTCTACGTTCAAAAATAACTTGTCAGCTGCACAACCTGATTGTGTGCATGTTTCTCCAGAAGCAATCCCCAACAGTTACAGACAAATGAAAACTCTCTTCAGCTATGAACGGTACCTCACAATGCTGGCGGGAAGCTTGGATTTCACATTCATATTTGTTTTTCACGGACTCTAAACAGAGCTCTCTGTAGATACCTACAAAAAAACATTTTTTTTTGTTTAAGCCTTCCGTGGGAGAGGCAAAATAGGGCCTACAGGCCTCATTTACCCTACCAATGCATTTCCCCATAAGCTGCAACTTACCAAACCCTAAGGAATGGGGCATTTTAAACAGCGGTGAAATCCCAACCGTGCCTGGCCCTCATGAATTCTCCACAAGTGAATTCTAAATTCCCCATCAGTAAAAGGCCCCTTTTCAGTTCAACCCATTCAACCCAAGGACAAGGCGCTCTTTACTCCACTGCCCATCCTGTGCCCAGTAAACACACACAAAAATTCCCCTCATGTGCCCTTTTCACATTCCCCCTTCCAAAACACATCAGGGCTGTGACACCGGTAAAACGGGCTAGAAATAAAGCTGCTTGTACTTTCTTTTTCCTAGCTCTGAGTGCGGCCCGTTTGCTCCTCTGCTCCTCTTGATTCTTCAATGTTAAATGTGGTAAAAGCTTGATGAGATATTAACTGCCCACTTTCTATCTTGGGCGTGGGCATAGAAGTGTATGGGAAAGCAGCTAAAGTGCTCCCCGGTTCCCTCATGTATCCAGGCTTTGCTATTGTTTGCTTCCTATGCTAGCGGGAAAAGGGGTGGGAGGAAGAGAGGAGAGCCTAACTCTGCTGTCAGGGAACTGCCATCAGTGCCGGAGGGAGAGAGCAAAATCCAGAGGGATTCCAGAGACTGTCCCAGGATTGGGAGAGGCAGCCCATCTTCTGGGGAAGAGAATCAGCGTAGCACCAGTGGAGAAGGGGGGCAGATGGGGGAAGCGGCGAGGCGGTCCCATGACTCCTTGCCGGGGACCAGCGGGGAGAGTAGGGGTCCTCCGCTGCCTACGCCCTCCTTGCGCAGAAGGCTTTCGCGCAGAGAGAGTAGGAGGAGACTAGGCGTCAAAGAGCTTCTTTGCTGGAAGAAGTTTAAGAAACGCCCACTGACGGATTCTGCCAGCGATTGAGACAGCCACGGGTGAGTGGCTGTCCGGACAGAAAAGGTTCACTCAGGCAACCCAGCCAGGTGTTTGCACCAGCTTACGCACGAGCAACCCCTAGAACCATTACATCTGCCTTGCTAAAAACCCAGTAAATAAGAGAATGCCTTGGAGGCCAAGCAGATGAGATGAGAGTTTGATTTCATCTACTCTGGGTATTCTTATACGATGCCCTCCTTGAATCTTTCACCAACGAAGACAGAAGTGCCGAAGAGCACGGTGTAGTTAAAAAGGAGCAGATTTAAATGTTTTTGTTGGTATTTTACTTCTACTAACAAGAAGTACCTAGCTGAGTCAAAAACAACCCCTTTGCACACTTACCTGCCACTTTTGTTCGGATTTGCATGTTTTCTTGCAGAGCTGCCAGCGGTTCCAAGTACTCTGGTGCCTTTCCCGCAATGACCTCCTGCAGTTTTGCATCCACTTGGCTTAATCTCTCTTTGTAAAGTCTTAAAAAATGCAGATGAAAGATGGAGTGCATTGCATTAAAGTAGTGTAGAGAATACTGTATATTAACATTACTAAGAATACATTTTCCACAGCCACCAATGGCCAGAACCTAGAAAACCCATTGAACGTGCCAACCTTGCAGAAATTCAGAGGACTTAAAAAAAAAAAATAAACTGTACAGAAAAATTATCACTTACACAATGCTTATACAGTGCTGGATCTTTACATTATGCTTCCTGATTTTAGCCCGCACAGATGAAGATCAGACATCCATTTAAGACTGTCTCCTAGTACCCAACACATACATACAGCTATATGAATTGGAACTCTTTGCTAACTAGATATTTACAGTATTTATTCCAAGTCTTAGTCTGGGAAACATGCAGAACAGAACCCTCACTTAAAAAAAAAAAAAAATGACCAATCCTTTATTGCTATTTTTTAAAATGTTGAAATGCATATCCTGCTCTCAGGGCCGCTAACAATATTAATAACTCAGTAAAAACAGCACAGCAGCTGTAGATAAAACACAATGAAGTAATTTTTCTTTAATGAGGTTGGACTAAGGACTTATTATGGCTTAAACTGGTTTAGCACAAGTGAGTGTTGTTTCACAGTAACTGAATGTTTCAAGAGTCCTCACTACGGTGCTACCGAATACTTCCATTTCAGCAACCCAAAGAATTTCACACTCTGCACCAGAAAGTAAAACCATGTTTCCTGATTTGCAGTTTACAGGGCAGCCGTGCACCTAGAGCTGCCACATTCAAATACAAAACAGGACTGGTCTGGCCTTTATTTGAAGCAGAATGTGCAGGAGAGTGAAGTGAAGCATGCACACACTTTCACCTTGTAGCATCCATTGCTACCTAGAGTTTTGTTACTGCCCATATCACTTCCAGAGTTGGAGTCAAGCCTGGTAAAAACCGCTTAAAGTGCAGTGGATTGTAGCTATGTAAGGCGAGGGGTGGGGAAGTTGATTCACTTCTACAGCATGATCCTTGTACCTTGGTTCTCGAATGCCTTGCAACTCGAATGTTTGGGATCCCGAACACCGCAAACCTGGAAGTGAGTGTTCCAGTTTGCGAACGTTCTTTGGAACCTGAACTTCCGACACGGCTTATGCAGCTTCTGACTGAGTGCAGAAGCTGCACCTTGGTTTTCGAACATTTTCAGAAGTCGAACGGATTCTGTTAGAGAACCAAGGTACGACGGCATAGAGAAGACCCCATTTCCCCACTTTCTGCTTGAATGGGAGGAGGCATGGGCATAAAATGCAGGTGGCTATGCCATCACAATTAGGATGGCCTTTTAGAATGTCCCACCCTAGCAGAGGGCAAAAGCTGCTTCTCCCTTTGCATATAAGGTCTAGGAAGACAAGGGTGAATTCTTCCATTTCAGATGTACAGCAATATAAAATTCCATGGTAACTACATTGGAAATCTCTACGCATCATTGTATTGATTATCTGTCCCTCACAAGGAGGTCCCAACACAGATCACAACCATGTAAAATACAATAAATATCTAGAAACTTCCCAAAATTTCACCAGCATACATTAATCTTTCAGCATAAACAATCATAACATTGCTCCACAAACCTTTGGATCAGGGATAGGCAGACTTCAGGCTTGGAGAAGGTCTGTAGTCCATTAGCAGAACATACAGTGTTCTGTATGTTTTAAAATAATTTTGCTTTAAGCACACAGTTCTTTCATCAGGAATACAGTGGTACCTCGGGTTAAGTACTTAATTCGTTCCGGAGGTCCGTACTTAACCTGAAACTGTTCTTAACCTGAAGCACTACTTTAGCTAATGGGGCCTCCTGCTGCCGCCGCGCTGCCGGAGCCCAATTTCTGTTCTTATCCTGAAGCAAAGTTCTTAACCTGAAGCACTATTTCTGGCTTAGTGGAGTGTGTAACCTGAAGCGTATGTAACCTGAAGCGTATGTAACCCGAGGTACCACTGTATGCTTTGCATGCAAAAGACAATCAATTCAATCCCTGGCAATTCCAGATTGGGCTTGGAAAGACCCTCATTTGAAACCTTGAGGTGCCACATCCAGCCAGTGCAGACAGAGGCAGATGTTTTGATGGTCTGATTCCACATACAGCAGCTTCCACCTACCTTTTAGTTTTACTACAACCCATAATCCATCAACTAGAGACAGGTGCAGAATGGCAGCAGGGGTGGGGAAATACATACTGAGAATTAAGGAAGAGGACTCAGCCCAGGGATTTGTTTTGATAGCACATCTGAGCTCACAATTCTTTTGCCCATAAAGCCTACTCATGCCTTCTCCCAAGCATCCTACACTTCAGCAATCTAATTAAGGAAAAAAGCCTTTCCATTGTAGCTACTGTCACATAATCCCATCAGAGAACCCTGTGAATCTACTGCAATTCACCCAAATTTGTACCAGTAAATCCCAATATATTTTATGCCTTCCCTTGCTTTACCAAATACAAAGCTAACCCAGGATGGTGAGAGGACTAGAATCCAAAGCAAATTCAAATCTGTAGTTTACTTACTGGTCTTTGAGGTCTGTAAATTGTTTTTCAAGATTGGACATCTCATCCAAACACTCCATTCTTCTTCTTTCACAGTCCTCATCGTCCATTTCTGAGAACAGAATTATTCACTTTAAAAATACACAACAGCAACTGGTTTTCCTCCAGTCTATTTTATAGAATTTATACTCAAACAGTTCATTAAAAAAACACACAAAAAGTTAATATTCCAAAGGATGAAGTTTTAAGAGGAATTAATGCTTGGCCATCTTTATTTTTTTCCTGCTGCACAATTCATCTTGGAATATAACCAAACTGGATCATCCATCACTAGTTCAGACTCACTTGAGCGGGCATGTGAAATTGAGATTTATTTATTTTTTGCCCCAACATGCATCCCTTTACACCTGTTTACACTGAATTGCACGTCATTCTACCGCTCATTCACTGACTTTGGATTTGGAAAGGCCCTTTTGGAGCTCTTCACTATACGGCAAGTACTCTTGCAGTATCACCAGGAGATGTGGTACTGGTTTTATATCAGGGCAATTTAAACTCATCTCATTTAATATTAATGTGTTTCATGAACGTGTGGATGGCATGCACTGCAGAATTAGAAATAAGGGGGGGGGAATCTGTTGCATTCTCTGTCTACATGTTAGGATGCTAATCAAGATCATCTTCTTGAAAGCTAAATATATGGACCCAAGGACTGGTAGTTACTGGGTAATGGTTTTTCCACAAGATGGAAAGTAAATGTCCATGACAGGAAAGAGCCTATCCTATTGTGGCACCCTATTTCTGAAATTTGCTCCTGTGAAAGTTGCACCTGACACAACCCTTATTCTCTTTTTCTTATCAGGTATACCCCTTTTTATTTGCTCAGGTCTTTTAAGTTTCTAAGGTTTTATACTAACATTTTATTTTGCTTTATTGTTCTGTGCTTTATTATGGAGGCCTAAATCAGATAGAAAATCTAATAACAGATTTATGACTTTCTGTACTTCAGTTATTTCAGGGGAATACACAACGCTTACTAGACAAATCAGAGAAGTGATACTTCCTAATTTAAGTAGCAGCTTTAAGCATTACAGCTGCTTCATAAAAGTGCACATATTTTAATAATCCTCTTAACTGCATCCCAACCTATCAGTGTTATTTCCATATTGCACATGGAAGACTAAGGCTATGATGTCTTTGGACAGTGAGAGTACATTGAGGAAGTGAACTAGAGACAACCTCCTGTTGACATGTTGCTCCTTTTGACACCACAGTGCACCGGCTCTTTTGGAATATTTTACAATAACAATCCTCCAGGATTTTGTTTATGAGTTTGCAGAGTCAATTCTGGGCTGACAAACAATGACCAACAGCAGTATAAATTATAGCATGAGAAAGTCTGTTGTGTACTAACTGGTACAGATACATTCCTAAGAATCAATGCATGTCTGTCAACAGTTATCTGTTGACATTATTCTTGGGATGAGAAAAATGAACAAAAGCTTAACTGTTTGTCCAATTCAGAAGCAAGATACTAGCAGGTGGCGCTGTGGTCTAAACCAGAGCATCTTGGGCTTGCCAATCAGAAGGTTGGCGGTTCGAATCCCCGCGACGGGGTGAGCTCTTGTTGCTCGGTCCCAGCTCCTGCCAACCTAGCACTTTGAAAGGATGCCAGTGCAAGTAGATAAATAGGTACTGCTGTGGCAGGAAGGTAAATGGCGTTTCCATGTGCTCTGGTTTCCAACACAGTGTTCCATTGCACCAGAAGCGGTTTAGTCATGCTGGCCATATGACCCGGAAAGCTATCTGTGACAAACGCCGGCTCCCTCGGCCTGAAAGCGAGATGAGCGCCACAACTGCATAGTTGTCTTTGACTAGACTTAACTGTCCAGGGGTCCTTTACTTTTACCTATACCAGCAATGAATAAAATCTGTGCCAAGAATCTCCTCGTGATTTCTGAAATGAAGCTTACCTCTGCCACCATGCTACTTGCTTTGTCATTTCAAAAACAGAATTGGTGCTTCCAGAAGTCCCATCCAATCAAAAAACAATTGAGGGGGGGGAGAACAGCACATACTAGTTGGGATTTATTTACCACACTCCACTGAAAGCACAAGTGACAAAAGTGCTCCGTGAAATATTGAAGAGGCCTAAAAAGAATGGCTTTGGACATGAGACTTCCCCCACCCCAGACAGAAACCCAGGTTAGAATTTGCTCATCCAAGTAAGTAGCTTAAGTGCTTGACACTTCAACGTATTACGAGTCTGAAATGTGAAGGTTTGATCAACGGGTTGCAACCTATAGCACTGCACTGCAAATAGCACAGGCAAACAGGCTTTCTGGTGTACCTAGGCACCAAGGAGCAAGGAGCTGCATGTAGTCTGCAGGGCACATTAGTGTGTTGGACTAGGACCTGGGAGACCAGGGTTCGAATTTCCACATAGCATGAAGTTTACTGAGTAACCTTGGGCCAGTCGCTGTCTCTCGGCCTAACCTACCTCACAGGATTGTTGTGAGGATAATATGGAGAGGTGGCGAACCTCCTTGAGCTCCTTGGTGGTGTATAAATGCATTTTCCTCAACATGTGGCGTACTTGCCCCAAAAGTCTGGCAGCCAATTATTTAGTGCTTTTCTAGGTAGGCTTGCTACCTAAATCCACTGGATCCACTCTGTGTGGTTCAGAAGAAACTTGGCATAATCCCCGCTGGGTTGCTGTTGTTTTTTACTGATACTATACAATACGTCTTCAAAAAGTGAGGATGAATCCTAGCCACTATTAAAATAGTGAACAGCACTGGGGAGTTGTCTGACGGAAAGTCTCCTGGGAAACATAGTTCCCTTTTTCCTAGGGTTTGCCCCCCCCCCCCAAATATTTGGATTCCAAGTTAGAAAGATTAATACTGCAAAGTCAAATATTTTGAAGTGTGAAATCCTCATGTCAGAACATAAAAAGAGCCCTGCTGGATCAGGCCAAGGGCCCATCTAATCCAGCATCCTGTTGTCACAGGGGCCAACCAAATGCCTCTGGGAAGCCTGCAAGCCTAGACCTGAATGCAACTGCCAAACTACAGGATAAGGAGATTGTGCTGTGCCACCACTTCATCCAGCCTCTTTCTTGCACACTGCACAGTCTTAACACTCGGTTTACTCCAGCAAGAAATCCTGATTCACATTCAGTTTATTTTAAAAGCTTAATGCAACTTCTATTTTGTAGGGATGATCGCTGGGTGCGGAGCACACTCCCCACCCGCAGGCAGCCTCAGCTGCCTGCACGCGTGACCTTGGGGTGCGGAGCACACTCCCCCTCACAGATAAAGCCACAGCTGTCTTAACATCTTGCCCTCTGTCTAACCTTTTGTGGTCTCAGTAGTCTGCGGTGTCCTGTCTGTAACCTTTGTCTCTTTCGTCATACATTGTGCAAGGGGAAAATGACGCGGTGGAAACAGGTGCCAAAATAACTTTGTACCACCCCACGATATCGGGACCGGAAGATGTGTAAAGGTCACAGCCCAAAATGTATCTGCCTGGGTTTGCATATTGTGTCAATAAAAGGAGCCTCCACAGAGCTGGCTGGCAGCTTGCTTGCAGCTCACCTGTGCGCAGCTCACCTGCATTATTAACTCCTGCCTCATGTCCTTCACTTCACTATTTGAGTTTAAAATAATGTACGCATATAGTACTGTTCCAGAAAGAGTTTTTCCCCTTAAAAATACCTAGAGGTTCTTACCGTAATACTGTTTTCGAACCTGACCAAGACTGAACTCACAAGATCAGTTGGTTTACAGAATGCATGTTACCCTTAAATGTTTTTTTTTAAGTATTTGAAAGAAGACGGACGAGCACAAGGTTTAGTGTTTTAATGCTCCATATATTGGAGGGGGTTGGTGAGAGAAAAGAGCAAAAAAGCCTGTCCTCTTTGTAATAAAGCATATTACATGTTCACAGGCAAATGCTCTCATTTTATGACTTTAACTGATGTTTAGCTTTTCTGTGTTGATTTACTTGTACACCACTTCAAGACAATTCTAATTAAGTGGCACATACATTGGTGAAATAAATAAAATAAATTATATTTTTTCTGGGTTCCAGACAGATTTCCATGGGTCATGAGCCTAGAGTAGAGCTACTAGCACATGGCCACTACTAGCTCAAGAGCAGTTTATCCAAGAGAGGTGTCTGGCCACAGAAACTAAACAACTGTTTGGTAACAACAGTTAATAAAAATAAACACATCTGATAAAGTGGACTCTGGTCCATGAGAGCTTATGCCTTAATAAATTTACTGTTGTTTTTAAGATGCTACAAGACTATTGGTTTTGCTGCAACTGATGAAAACGTCTGCCTCTCTGAAAATGCCTAGGCAGATCTCCAGTTCTGCCAGGATAGTGTTCATCAAACACCATTTTTATGGTTGGCTTAATTGCTCTGCCAAGCAATTCACTCCTCAAATGAAGGGAAAGAAACTTACTTCCTCTGTTGCTTTTGTAATGTTGGGATAAGTGTTGGAGGATGTGCATATAAAATGGAGAAAATGCACTATTAGTATAGTTCAGTGAAGAAAAGAAATGAGGGTAGGTAAGAGATTTTTATGGCACTATAACAGCTATGCCAAGAATGAAAAGGAGAAACAAGTGCTTTTGAGAGACTTTGCAAATCTCTCCTCCAAGACTTGTGAGGGGCATAATTTTGTGAGCCATGCTAAAATAATTGCAACTCTGTCTTGCACTCAGATTCCTGGTATAGCAACTGTACCTGCGCTGTAGAGTTTCGTTCTCACTTTCTATGCCTTCTTTTGCAGCATTCCCTTCCCATGCTTCTCTCCAAATACTGTTTGCAAAAATGTAAAGAATTTTATCTTCTCCCATTCCCTTCAAGTCCCCCCCCAAAAAATTCAATCTCAATCTAGCCAGTCAGATCAAACTACTTTGTGCTTCCTTCCCAGGGACCTTAGTTATTCATAGAATTCCCTTGTGTTCTCTATGACTCTACAGATGTTGGAGAGCTCCAGCTGTACCTCTTCACTGAAACTCATTGTATGCCGAACTGTGTGTGTGCATGCGTAGACAATCCATATTCCCAGATTTTAGTGTGCAAATAATTATAGCTACAGGTTGAGATGCTCTCACTTCAGTTTCCCTCTCTCCTCCAGTCTGTCCTACACGCACAATGTAGGAAACCTACATCGGAGAATATACATACATGCCATTTCCCTTTAAAGATTAGGTACAGCAGATCTGTGCTAGGTCTGGCTTGAGTTTGGCTCTTCTCTGTATGCTTGCCTGTTGTAACACAGGAAGCAGTAAAAATATGATCTTGATTTTCCTGACCTGGGAGTAAGACCTTAAACTCATAAGGAGCCAATTCTAAGTAGGCAGAAATAGAATCAAACTGTATAAATGGAGAGGATGCCTGAATCCATTAAGATTTTTCTCTACTTTCTTCATCAGTCTGCCCACACATCTGAGCCCAGACACTCCATTCTGTTTTTCCCTTCCATTACTCTGAATTAATTCTGACCATATATGTTTGTCCAGTCATTTCCTTGCCTCTGCCTAGCCTCATATGCCTCTTCCCTTCCCCTTCTCTTATCAGTCTTATCCATCTCCTCCCTCTATCTATCTATCAATAAATAGCCTCCTTCTTGGAAGCTAATATATCTTAATCTACTCTGGAGCCATCTCCTCACTCATCCATCCATGCCTGCATCTTTTTTCTTTTAATCAGGGTTGCAACATGAAAGGGGGGGGGAAGGACAAGTATGTGTAGGTGGATGTGGGTGTGTAGTGGCTTGCCAAATGCAAGAGAGGACAGGTGGCTCCCGCAACTTTATTGGTTTACAGAAGGGGAGAGAGAGAGAGAGAGAGAGAGAGAGAGAGAAGGCATCCCTGCTGAACACAACTAGCGTGCAGGAGCCCTGGTGGGGTTTTTTTTGGGGGGGGGGGTTGCCTCCGGAAGGCGCGGACAAGCAAGAGGGATGCTACGCAGGTCTGCTCGGAAAGGATCTCCACTGAGTTCCACGGGCCCTACTCCCCTGCCAGCATGCACGGGGTTTTGCAGCCCTGGACGAAAGCAAGCATCTTGCCTGCCTATTGTTACCCCGGGCGACGCCTAGGGCGAGCTGCCCTGCCCTCCGCCCCACAGCCAAGGGGGTGCATGGGGGAAGCACCGGGCGGGAGAAGGGGGCGGGGCGGACGGGGAGAGGGGGCGGGGCCGAGTCCTCCTTTTCCCACCCCCCGGCCCAGCCCGAGCGGGCAGGAGAGAGGGCGCCCCGCTGCCTCGCCGGCTTCACCTGAGCTGTCACCCTCCTCGGACACGGACGAGCTCTCGGACTCCTCCTCCTCGGAGCTGCTGCCCTCGTTCTCCCCGTAGTCCACCTCCATCTCGTCGTGGTTGTTCTCCTTCTTCTCCCGCGAGTGGACCGGCATCGCGCCGCCCAGCCCAGCCCGCAGGCGCTCGGCGTCGCTGGCTCCTAGGGACCGGGGGACAACAGCCCTCCCTGGCCGCCCGCCCGCCCGCCTGCCTCCCCAACGCGCCGAAGCTCCGCCTCAGAGAAACCCCGCCATCCACCTTAGCCCCGCACAGCCTCACGCTCCGCTCCGCCGCTCATTGGCCGACGACCCGCCGACGGGCGTGGCGCGCGGGTGGGCGGCGGGGCGGGCGGCGGAGCCGGAGCGGCGCGTGGCGGAGCTTCGCTGCGGCGCGGAGGATCTCGGGACATGTAGTCTCTCGGAAGGAAGGCTTCACTCCACCTAACCGCCTGCCCGCCCCTCAGTGGGCGGCGGAAGGCGCGCCGAAGTGGAAATGTTTCCCAGGGTTGCAGGCGGCCTGCCAAAAGAGCCGCAACAAATGATGAAGATGGTGGAAAGATTTATGAAAGGGTTTGTTGAGGAGTCAGACCCGTAAAACCGTACACGGAGGCAGCAGCAGCAGCAGGCACGGGGAATTTGTGGGCGCCCAGATGCTGCCCGGACTACAGCTCCCACTATCCTTGGACATTGGCCATGCTTGCTGGGGCTGATGGGAGTTGGAGTCCCAACAACATCTGGAGGGCCTCAGAGTCCTCGCCGCTGTTGCGCAGGATGGCACTCTTTTAGAATGTAAGAAAGGTTCTTTTGCTGGATCGGACTAAGGGTCCCTTTTAGAGCGAGAGCCAGCCTGGTTTAGGGATCGGAGTTACATGGCTTCAAATTCCCACTTCGCTACCCTGTCACTCAGTCTAAACTACTTTGCTTCCAATGATAAAATGAGCTGGGGAGAACTACTGTGCTGAATTTTTTTATAAAGGCATTGCAAGATGGGGTGCTTGATTTTCAATCCACTCTGAAGACGAACTGTGAAATAAACATGGAGTTTGCCTTCATTGTTGTTGCATAATCTTTGATGCTTCAGCTGATCAGTCCGCTACATTTGCAAGTCTATTTTCACCTGTTCAATTGCTATATGTGACGTTAGGCTATCATGCCAAAAAATTACTTTCACTGAGGTCACATTCACATCATACATTTAAAGCACCTTTATAGCACTTTTCACAGCAGTGTTTTTTTCTGGGGGTACTCAAGGGTATGCAGTACCAGCACTTTTTTTAAAGGAGTTTTAAAGGAGTGGTTTAAAGTGTGGCACTTCCTGTAACAAATGGTGAGTACAGGCACCATTTTTCTAGAAGAAAAGCACTGTTTAACAGACATAGCTCCCCCCAAAGTATCTTGTGAACTAAACTTTACCCATCACAGCTAGAATTCTCAGAACCCTTATCAATTCCCAAGATGCTCTGGGGGGAAGCAATGTTCTTAAAACGTTCTTTAAATGTATGGTATGAATGTGACCCTAATCTCATTTGCCATTTTGTTGTCTGTTGTTTGAAGAAACCCTTTTGGTCGCACTAGAGAGCCTTGTTTGGAAACAGTTCTTAGCTTCAGAGACCAGCATAGTTCCCATGGGGTCCAAATGGAAGAGGACCTCCTGCCACAAAAAGTTTTGTGCCAAATGAGTGATAGCAATGAGTGAAAGCAGTGTTTGGGAAGGAGCCGATGTCTGAAAAGCAATTCATGATTCAGCCAACCTTCACTAGTCAACAATTTAAGGATTTATCTTCCTCCTAATTTTGTTCTGCAGCAACTGTGTAGCGCCTTCTCATCCAGGAATTTCTGGGCTCAGATGTCGTAGAACAGTAAGGAACCCCACCATGTCCCCACCCTGCTAATGTGTTCATAGAAGCTCAGAGAGCAATAGCAAGCACATGACAGGCCAGCTTATTTTATAGCTATCCCCAAAATAGTGGCAAGTAAAATGAAAGTTAGAATCATTAAGTTTGTAATGGCATCTTGAAACAGTAGAGGCAAAAGGTGAGTCCTCCTGTGGATTGAAAACTGGCTAAACAAAAGGAAGCAAGGTCAAGACAATATATTTTTCACAAAAACAGGCAGTAGGGTCTGCACTTGAACTGTACCATTTAATTTATATATGATAGTGAATCAAGGGTGAGTGACAAGATTGCCAAAGTTGTAAATGATTCCAAATTAATCAGAATAATGAAAACTCTTCAAATAATGAGACTCTTCAAATGCTCCAGAAAGCCAATTTTAGTGACAAACATATTTTTGTTAATAAACAATTTCATACTTAACTGTAAGATATTAATTATAGTCTTTTGTCTCAATCTTTAAAGCTGCCTTTATGTACGATGAAATAGTTATTGTGTGATATGCTTTCTTGAACATTTTTTACTTGTTTCTATTTCAACATGTCATTTGATTGCAAGCTAATCTAAAAGTACATGCTGCAAACAATCTGGAATGTGTGCACAGATGAGAAAGGGTCTGGAAACCAAGCCTTGTGAGGACTCGTGGAGGGAACTGGGTATGTTTAGACTGGTAAAGGGGAGACTGAGAGGATATATGAAAGCTACTTTCAAATATCTCAAGGGTTTCCACATGGAGGATGGAGCAAGCTTGTTTTCTCCAGGCTAGTACCTGAAGCAATAGAAAGGAGATTCCAACTAAACATCACGAAGAACTATCTGACAGTAAGCTGTTTGACAGTGGAACAGACTCCGTTGGGAGGCTGTGGACTCTCCTTCATTGGAGGTTTTTAAGCAGAGGTTGGATGGCCACCTGTCATGTATAGCTAGTTGAGAATCCTGCATTGCAGGGGCCTTGGGGTCCCTTCCAACTCTATAATTCTATGGTTCTTTTAACTTCTTAATGCCTGTAAGGTACAATCCCATTGCGTGGAAAAAAAATTCTGACACCCATAAAAGAGTACAAGTGAACAGAGAGGAAAATTAAAGGTTAAAAAATTAAACAATTTATATTTTTGCTAATGTACAAAAAGTGCAGTGCTCAGGCCAGAACCCTCACAACACTTTCAGCATTTAAGTATTGATCCCAACTGCCAGAGTTGGCATTTGTGTAGATATATGCACAAAACCACAAATACAACAGAAAGTTTTAATGATGATAATGTATAATATTTTACAACAATGCTGGAGATGTTTAACCAGGAAAGGGACGAAGAAGAGGTTGTAAGAGAAACTGAATTTGATATTTGTGCAACAGTATGCAGCGGACAAAAGGCACACTAATTTTTCTGTTTTTACCACTAAGTATGGGAACCTGCACAATGCCTATCACAAAATTCCAACAGAGTTCAAAGTATGTAAGGATTAAGCATCAAATACAGAATGTCTCGCTTTCCCTGAATATTAAGTACAGAAACATATAAGAGTCCATCCCACAGAAAAACAACGAAAGAATAGAAAAATAAATTTGTCCAAGGAGCCCAATGTTGACCTATAGCTGTGGGGTAAACAGATTTTTAAAACTTGAGTACAAATTACTGGTATGTTGGTTTGCAGACAATGAAAAATGAAGCAGTAATCCTCTGCACATTTAAGTAAGAATAAAAGAAAAACCTCTGAAGACAGTAAGACTTTCTTACAAGTAAATATACTTAGATTCACACTACATGAGTATCTCTTGTATTGATGAGGACAATATGAAAGTTAGTTCTCTATCCCATTCAAAAATACTATTGTGGGGGAGTGAGTGTTTAGAGAACATTCAGGCAGTATTTGATATGAAAAGGTAATTTAGGGGCAAAATGAAGCAAAGCGCTACAGATAGTAACTGAGAATAAAGGATAACTGAGTATAAAGCAGTGAAGGTGAACAGAACAGGCAGGAGGTCACGTACAAAGAGGGAAAGGTACGGGCCAGAAAACAAATGTACATATCTGGTGCCTGTTAATCTAAATTCCAGGTATGTTAATCTGTAACCACAAGAAGTGGTGCTTTAGAGACTAACTAGTTTATTACAATATTTGTTTTCGTTGGAGCTCAAATGCAGCACAGGATAACCTAAGATAAAAACTAAAGCTAATATGAATACAAAACACACCCTTTGTTATTGGTGCACCAAGTCTATATGAAAACAAGGCAATGCATGTGACATTCTAACTTTTGGTAATGCGTAACTACAAGGAAAGGGAAGGTGTTATTTTTATAGTAAGTCAATAATTCATAATCCTGAAAAATATAAAGTTGCTAATTAATTTCATTCTATGATTCTGTTTCCTTATCCCCTTGCAACTAAAAGTGAATGGATGGACACACACATTGCATGCATCCAATGAAAGCTGATGAGAACCCCCGCTCTCTCCCTGAATTTGTGCAGGGAGTATCCCTGTATTTGTCCCTTAAGTTTGCTCCAGTACCCATTCACCTGTCCTGATTGTAGTGCAAGTTTAACTGGCTACATCTGGCCAAGTAGGATTTTACCACCACTACCCAAACTTCACTGGCTGTAGTTTTTGTTTTGCCTACTAAGTCTACACTGTTAGGTCAAGGGAGGAGGAGTTAATGTTAAGTGTGATGCCACTGGATAGGTTAAGATGTCCAGGTGTAGGCACAACTGTTTGATACTGTTCTTTTTAACTCATTTCATGACCTACTCCCATGGCACCTTCTGGTATTGCAGACACCACACTGCCGATTCACATCTCTACCTACTGTGCCCTAAAATACCTGAAAGACAATGCCACGAGAAGAGTATGAAGCATATTATATTCTTTTCATGTGTTTTGATGTGTTTAGATTGTTTGCAATCCACCTTGAGTACTAATGGTTGGTATAAATGTTTAAACCCCCACTCCCACCCCACACTACAAGTACTCAAAGCAATGTGGAAAAAACTAATCTACAATAAATTATGTGCATGGGAGTGGCTTTCATATGACAGATTCAGAGTGTGGCAACTGGGGACAGGTCAGTATGTGCACTTTTACGGGAAGTCAGGAGACAAAACTGGAGCAGTTAGGAAAGATGGAAATACCCCTTCTATTTTCAAGTTTCTTACTTTAATGCCCTTCTTTGTTCTCCTGAAGAGACTATGTAAACTGCTGAATAACAGCACTGAAGCTAAATTATGTGGGACAATTTCCCAGAGGACAGGCTGCTCCTGTGTAGAAATGTTTCAGTGGTATGAGAATGCCACTTCTTTTGCAACTTTGCTTGCAGACAGAATGCTACACTGAATGTGTGAAATGGGAGACAAATGACCTTACCTCTGAAATTGATTCTAGGGATTGATACTTGCACACCTGAGCTTAAACCCCGAAATTGTTTGTTTTTCCTTTCTTCTGTTTTGCTAGCTGTGCAAGTGAACTCAGCCAGATCTATATAGCTGAAGGAAAGGGTTTTTTTTCATAGTGGGGACTGACCTCTAGGATA